CCAAGACGCCCTGAGCCTCCGAGGGGGGGAGCTGAATTGAGGACCCCCCCCTCTTTTGGAGCCATGGGGCCCAAGAGGCCTCCCAGACCCCTCCAAGGAGCCCCAAGAGGGCCCGAAGACCCCAAAATGAGCCCCAAGAGGACCCGAAGATTGGCTCAAGAGTCCCACAGGGGGCCCTCAGAGAGCCTCTAAGCTCAGGATCGCCCCCGACAGCCTCTAGCCGAGCATGGCTCAAGATAGCCTCCAAGAGGCCTCAAGAAAGCATCCGATCGTGTCTGGGTAGGCTCGTGGGGATACGTGAAGCGTCGATAATTGCTTTAACCATATTGGTCGTCGCAAATCTGTAAAAAAAGAAAAACATGGAACCATCCGCAATAACCACAGGGCGATCGAACTCACCACGGTCGAACATAACAACACATTGCCTGAGTTTTCATGATCTGACCTTCCCTCCGTGATTCGTCCGGCGTACAATCGTGCACATGTTGTAGCCGCTCTTCCCGCATTACCCCCCCCCGCGGTCAAGCGTTCCAGAACCCAGACGCGGAACGGCGCCCGCACGGCACGGCGCGGCGCGGTCGGCTCCATGTTTCGCATTCTCAGTGCTAGGAGCGCCTCTCTGACAAGAAGCGAAACTCTCACAATGTACGCCGTTGGAAGAAATCCGCCACCGTGCCGCTGGGCACGGAATGGGCGTGTCCTCGGGTCCTTCCACTACCCCTCTGAGTCTCAGTCGTCACTCCTGAGCGTTCTTGAGGGCCCGGAGCCCAACTTCTCACACCTTTTTGGGCTTCCCGCGGTTCCCCTTGGGCTTGCCGCGTCTTGTCGCGTGACATTTTCGGACCCACGAGGGCCCTAGAGGGCCCCGAGTCGCCGAACGATCGCTCCAATACGCTCAAGATGGTCCAAAAACGCCCGAAGAGGCCTCCAAGACTCCCAAAGAAGCCTCCAAGAGGCCTCCCAAGAGGACTCCAAGAGGCCCAAATCATTGATTTTCCGCAAGGTTTTGAAGGACTTTAGCTTTCTCGCCTTCTCGGCTTCCGGACTCCAAGACGGCCCAAGAGGCCTTCCAAGAGGGCCCCAAAACGGGCCAAGAGCCCCAGGAGGCCCCCGAACGGCCGTCAAGAGGCGTCCAAACTGAATCCAGGAGGCCCCCGAGAAGCCTTCCGGGAGATCCAAACGAACATCCGGTAGGCTTCGCCCCCACAACCCAGGCACAGAGGCGGGATGGGCCGAAGGCCATTACATACCTCCGACTGTCCACAAATCATCTCGCGATCTCTCCAGGACAGCATGGTATAATCATCACCGAATGTGTCACGCAAAGGGGTGGCGGAGCGATGGAGGAAGAGATAAAAGCTTGCTTTGCGTCGCCAGGCGCCGATGTCCGAATGGGATGGGGAGGGTAGAAACAGAAACAAAAACCATAAAACATCAACTTTTGGCGCTCCGCGCGGATTGCTTGGATCTGCGCTGGACCCCCCTCCCTGGCGCGCGGAGCGCGCCAGGGGCGGCGCTGGCGGCGCCGCCAGGGATCCCAGCGCGGATCCAAGAAGCCCGCGCGGAGCGGCACACAAAATTATGTTTATGGCATTCTTTCGCGCGTCGGCCACCGGCGGGCCCAGCGCGGATCCGAGAAACCCGCGCGGAGCGCCGGAAGTTTATGCCTCATGGCGCTCTTCCGCGCGCCGGACCTCTGGCCACTCTGCGCCCTGCTCCCGGGGCCGCGGCCTCGGGGCGGGCTGGGGCACAGAGCGGACGGAGGAGGGCGCCACGGCGAGTGCGGGGACCCACGTCGTGCGGACGGGGCCGGCCGCTGCGCGCGGGACGGGACCTGCCCGTCACCACCCGCCAAGCCACCCCGACGCAACCCGAGGGCCCTCAGACCCAGACCCCCTCGAGTTGTGAAAAAATCACGACGAGAGGCTTTTCATTATTTTTGGCCCGTGGGGGCCCTTGCCGGCCCTCGGGAGCGTCAAAAAACGGCTCAGGACGAAACACCGGTCCCGGGGAATGGGTCGAGACCTCGGTGGGGGGGGGCCGAGGAGCGTTGAGAAACGCATGGGGGCACCTGTCGCCTGCACCCCCCCCGCAGCCTGGAGGTTCGGGCGACATTCGGCTCTTCGAGTTGGGTTGAGGTTGTCTGGTAGGTAGTTAGTCCGTTTGGCCCAGCAGGTGGCCCGCCGCCTGGCAGCCGCATTCCCTGGCCGCAGGCTCCGTGCGTTCTGTCAAATCCCAGTCCCGGAATGCCACGCTCGGTACCATATCGTGGCTGCCTGGTCGATATCCCGTGGCGCTTGGGTGTTCGCTGAGCTGGAGGGCCTTGCCTTTGGTATCGGGGTGGCCGTGAACCATATCAACCGCGTGCCCCTGCATTTTTGTGCCGTGGCTCGACGATGGTTAGCCGTTCCGGTGATCAATTGTTTGAACAACGTCAAAATCACCGACGTCGAAGGGATTTCGGAGTCATCACTCTGTTGTTTGGGCTCGCTCGTGGCAAGGATTCCTACCCGTCCTTGGAGGGTCCATTTCTGGGATGGAACGAGGACTACGCGCAGATCCCTGTTTCTGGAGTTATTGCAATATCTCCAGCTTCGGCGTTCCTGTCTGGTGTACTTGACCTCGTGAGCACAATTCTGGACAAAGGCTTCCTCACTGTATCTGAGGCGCGCACGGTCCGTGGCGAACTGATGCGGATGGCTGAAGCGCACGAGGGTCGTGTCGGAAAGGGGCCAGATGGCTGTTTTCGAGGCGGCTGCCCAGGGGCGTGCCGACTGGTGCCAGGTGAAAGCAGCCTTGGAAATTCGCTTGGCGCTGGCTCAGCTGCAGCGCCGGCGAACCATCAGTGTGTTTTTCCGGGGGGGGGGGGCGCCCGCGCTTCACTGTGTAAGCGGGCTCATGTTACGAGTGTCGCCCGCCAGCTGTGCGTCCTCATGTTGTTCTGTGCTACATCGTGCTGGATTCGCAAACGGGGGACAAAAAGGGGGCAGAGTTGCCGCCCTGTCTGACAGAATCCTGGATAGTTCTGACGCTCGCGAAGGGTACATTGCCTTGGGAGAGGCGTTTACCCCGCTGCTGTGTTTCCACCACGAGAAGAACACATTGGCCGGAGCGTCCGTCGCTGTTCTCGTGGGCAACTTGCCGCTGTTATCGGCTGTGCGCAAGGGCTCTCGCAACTTCGTAGACTTCGGGTGCCTCGCGCACGCGATCCACTTGCTCACAGCGTCGCTCTGGCTGCTTGCGTGGTGGGAACATGTGGACAGCGCAGCAAATATTACAGACGGCGGGAGCCGCTGCGGTACTGGCGACCCTGTGGCCCGTCGTCTCGGGATTCGTCTCAGAGCAGTGGAGCTGCCGCCTTGGCCCGCAAATCTGCGCCAGGTTCTGGCTGAGACTCTGCTGGGATACTTGGAGTCGGGATTCGATGGGTCGTGAGGTGCTGGGAGTAGGTTCGATGGGGTTGGATGCCCTCGGCCCATGCAGCAGGAAGGGGGGGCCTCTCTCGTGCATGCCAGTCTTGGCACCTGGATACCCCCAAGGGTAATCCAAGGCAGCCTTATTCCATCTCCCCTCTCGCTCCTTCTATCCTTCCTCTGGGACCCCGGGGTGGGGAGGCATGTATATGATCGTCGTCGCCGTTGTCGGCGTCGTCGTCGTCGTCGTGCACCCCTGAGATTCGCCATTCCGCATCCGCGCCTGCAGCGCGCTCCTGAGCGCGACACGAATAACTCTCCGCGCAGTTCCCTGCCTCCCCCTTCCTCGCCCCCACGCCTGCCCCCTACGCGCCAACAGCGGGAGTGAGAGGGGACAGGTGGGGGGACCGCACCGAAGAGAAGACGAGGGAAGAAAAAACGATGACCGGGGCGAGGCGGGGGCAGGCGAGGAGAACGAGGCCATCACAAGGGAACAGAACGCACATTCAAACTTGAGCACTCGGCAAGCACTTGCTCTGGGAGCGGGAAGGACCGGTGCGAGCCTGGCGCCCTGGGCGCTGCTGCGCAAACCGGGCGGGCCACCGCAAGCACGTAGATCCGATCGGCGCCGTCATAAACAAACAAACAAACAAGCAAACAAATGAACACAAACAAGCACAGTCAAACGCACACAGACAAACAAGCAAGCAAGCAAGCAAGCAAGCAATCTAAGCGAACAAACATCTGAGCCATAGCTGAACCAATGAGTTCTGTTCAAAGTGCATCTGGCGGCATCCAGGGCCCAGGAGCGGCCTGGCCGGGAGCGGAAGGCTCGTGCCGTCACAGCCCCAGCGCTGGTTTCTGACCACCGCGTGGATGGCTCAACCTTGAATTAAGTCGGGCATGTCCCTCTACAGGAAGAATATGCAAAAATGGCCAAAAATGGTCAAAACATATGGGGGCGATGTTTCGACTATGTTTTGACCATGTTTGAACATGTTTTGACAATTTTGATGTCTCCTCTAGAATCCGCCTGTAGGAGGACATGCCCGACCGACACCTTGAACGATCGGAGGCTTCTCGATCGCCAGATCGTTCCAAACTGGCCGATCCTGGGCCGCTGTCGGCCTTCGACCCGGCACGCCCCCGGCGGGGCCGCTGCCGCCGGGGCACGCCACGAAGCTGCCGCGGCGTGTGGCTGGCACCCTCCGACGGGCAACGAGAGGCGGGCCCGCGGCGGGGGGAGGAGGCGGGCCGCCCGACCCGGCCGGCGCCCCGCGCGCTCAGCCCTTCTTGCCGTGTCGCAGGCTCGCCCGCAGGGAGAAACACTGTGCCGCGTGCTCCAGCAGGCACGCCCGCATCTGCTCCGCGACCGCCCCGCAGCCAGCCGCCGCCATGTC